ATTTCAAACTTAAAATCGTGAAAATCGAGAATCTCGAAAACTGGCAAAGTATCAGGAGAACATAATCGGCAAAGAGGTGGCACTATCTGAATTTCCAAGAATCGGAATTCCGAGAATTTCAAACTTAAAATCGTGAAAATCGAGAATCTCGAAAACTGGCAAAGTATCAGGAGAACATAATCGGCAAAGAGGTGGCACTATCAAAAATTCCAAGAATTGGATTTCCGAGAATTTCTAAATTCAAGTCGCGAAAATCGAGAAAATGGCAAAGTATCAGGAGAACATGATCAGCAAAGAGGTGGCACTATCTAAAATTCCAAGAATTGAAATTTCGAGAATTTCAAACTACAGATCACAAAAATTGAGTATCGGATACTGACATCAGAAAATTTTATATTAATCAATTGGCGATGTGCGCTTATACATATTGTATTCCTCTCATATCCAACGTACGACGTTTGATATCTAATATGATTGGTTCTTTATTGGATCTAAAAGTGTCAACCAATGACTCGAGCATGAATCTTTTCCTTTAGCGTGAACTCGTAAAAAGTAAAATATATTATTGACGAATATTGAATTCTTTAATGAAATTTTTCACTTGCCGCGAGTTCACGCTAGAGGAAAAGAGTCATGATTGAGCCCCAGTACGAACTGTCTCCCGAAAATTCCCTAGAACTCGCAGCCAACGGCGCTTTCGGTAGTGTCGCTGGACGTAATCCGAAATTACAGTTCTTCAAATTCAGTTTGACTGGTTTTCAGTGGCCGTGTCCCGTGTGCTCTAAATTGCCTCATTATGGCTGATATGGGCCTAAGCCTGGACGATATAATTAAGAAGTCGAAATCGTCGGGAATGAGAGGCAGAGGAGGGTAAGGCGAATTCGGCGAGTTGCTAATTGCGACCGGACCCTCGCCAGCTTTCACGCTCGCGTTGTCCGTTTATAACCTTGACGCGATCGCGCTTTCCTCTATTGACTCGGATCCGTGCGCGACAATCTCGCCTTCAGAATTCTCGTTCGGATCGTCGCCTCGCTCGACAATCGCGTCGCCGCGAAATCGAAGTGAGCTAGCGCGCGCGGATGGCATTCGCAGCCGCTCTGCGTACCTCTGGAGCAAAATCTGTTGCACTTATTTGACGATTGCGTAGTGTTGTGTCCGCACGGCTTGCTCGATTGACTCCGCGATTTTCAAATGCTATGTAAGAGAACACGTTTACCAGTCTTGCCGCAAATGCTTTTCTCCCAACGCTTAATAAATCAAACGCGGAGCTAATCAGAGAACTTGTGCAATTGCGCAGGATACGCAGGGGCATCAACAGAGGCGCGCGGGCAAACGGCTCTGTGAGAGGACGTGGCTCGCATATCGTCACGGATGCGCGGTTCAAGATAATACAGAAGAATCGGGAGAAGCTCACCGACGCTAGGGACAAGCTCGCCGAGATTGCGAAGCAGAGCGACGCGCGACTCAAGTTGGACAAGATCCGCGCGTCACACTACAAGAAGATAGACACCCTTTCGGGTATCTCGCGCAAGACTGGCCGGAACGGCCGGCTCTCGTTGTCGACGAACAAAGTGTCGCACTTGATGCAGCATGTGTTACCGCCGAATATTCCGAACAATTACATGCCGCCTCCCACGAGAGCGGTCGGATACAGGCCGCCTATCTCCGAGCCTCATTACTTGGGGGACATGAGCATGGATTATACTGATGGTACATATATGGACATGTATTTAACATATAAATTGATGTATTTGCACGTGTACATTTTAGAAAGTAATTTCAAAATGTTTTATTAGCAATAATTGGCTGTGTTCGGCAGAAGCCAGCGCTGAACTGTGAGCCGATTGGATTATATTTCTAGATCTAGAACAGTTCTGTGTTTCAGCATAGATCGGGAAGTACAATCCAATCAATGCAAAGCACATATCAAGTGCTAACTTCTGCTAAATGCAGCCATTGAAATACCCAGTGAGAAATGATTCGTCAGAACGATGTCGCTTCGACATCGATTGACGGGTCATTCCTTGCTGGGATGACATTTGTTAACGAAAATACTCGCTTATTCTCTTAGATTATTTAACGGAATCATCTTCATTGAGGAGGACCGTGAGTAACGAGTACGCGCCAACACCCCCGCCTCCACCTCCAGTGTTCAGTATTAATCCGATTTCTCCTTACACCTGGGTGAAGTCCAGAAACACTAATGTGACTAGGATTCAAGCTCGAAAATCTGAGATGGAGAAGGACCGAGAGAGGCAAAGAGATTACAAACTCGCTGCGCGCTCTGCGATGGTAAATAGTTTGGTTGTCTTTGCTGTAAAATCTAATTTCTGATCAGTTTAACTCGTATAATTTGTTCCCTTGTCGCAGACAAAGACTGCTTCACCTCCTTATAAAGAAGACTGGAGCTTTGGCACAAAATCAAGGTAAATATTAAGATATTTTACAGAATACTTAAGACATAAACTGACCAATGTAAACGGAGACTTTATGATTTTGATTATAGAACAATTGTTGCCGAGGAAATGGTAGATTCCAAGTACTACAATTCCAGAAATGTTCGAGAAATCGGAGTAAAGTCGCGTCTCGAGTCCTCCCCGAATAAGACGCGCACAATGGGTGTTTTGTCGCGGCCGAAAGCAAGTTCCAGTTCGTCGGTACAATCAAATGGCTATCGAATTGTAGTATCCAACTTGCAAGCCAACGTCACACAAGAAGATATCAAGGTATAATAAAGAGAAAACTTATTTCTGAAAGTTCTCGCTATACAGAAATTGATTTTAAAAAATATGTGTTTGCATCCCGTAGGAATTATTCGAAGACGTTGGCGAACTGCTTGTATCGAGACTAGTGCGTCCAGGTACTGCGGAAGTAATCTATAAAACGCTGAAGGATGCGACTAAAGCAGTTGAAACTTATCACAATCGACAATTAGACGGCCATCCAATGAAATGTCTCCTCGTTAATCCACGACCAAAAAACAATCCAACTGGACCAGCTGTCCGATCTCTTACGGAGTGAGTAGCAAAAATTTCCCATTGCCGAATGCTTCAGGCATACGCGTCATACTCTATGACACTATTCTATGCTGAATCGTGTGATGGTACATGAAAGTCGAAAGCAGCACAAATTCATTTTATTTGGATCAGTGTCACATGTAATCATCGTGTGTAATTTCTCACATCTAACTCTACTTTGGCTGCAGAAACTAATTCGGAGTCTTAAAATAGTCGTCTTGAAATATGTCGTTTGTAGGCGGCCGACGTGCTCCTCCTTTTTCACGACACGCAATTTCTTTTCTACAGGTCAAGACGTAGTATCAGCTCAAGTTATGTACAACCAAGTTTAGGAGCGGTGCATCGCGCATTATTCGACGATTCTTAATCGAACGTATCCATTTTGATATAAGTCAATATGAAGAAAAGAAATGTCTTGTATGTAAGTGTAACGGACATTATGCTGATTATTCTTAGGAGAGCGACCGGAGAAACGGCAAAACGCTGAAAGCGCATTTAATATGCGCAACTCCAATTCCCAGCTGTAATTGTATTAATAAACTTATACCACTCATTATCTTTAGTCTATATGCGGTCTGTACGACCGATAACACTGGAACGCTCGTGTATTATTCTCATTATTTTTTAGAGATAATCGTCTCCTCTTGTATTTTATGCACTTTGTAATTACAATCTCATTATTTTGTCTTATATACCTTATTTTGTCTTATATTATTTTAAAAGTAATAAATTGTTAATTAAGGGTCTGAAATATCAGAGGTCGCGAGCTATCCTTGAACATTGAAGACAATAGTAAAAGCTGAGACGTTCTGGTGTTAAAATATAGAGGGGAAACTTATGTTAATATAACACGCTCGTGGAACCACGTACGCATCAGGCGAAATCTGCTTCTTGTATATTTAATATGTCCGAATAAAATGGTACCCATCCAGCAACTTTGATATTCTTTTCAGGATACGATATAGATATTTAAATGAAGTCATAATGACCGCTCGTGAACGCGTGCAGTCATTAATGTAACTTATTCAGCTTAAATGCACACGTGACCTTCATAGTTACGAGTTTCAAATATTATATTTCGTGTATGTCTATAAGTCATATGTCTTCACACTCTTATGATATACTTTACGCAAGAACAAGTACTGGATATATTAGTTTTCTCCTTGAGGATCCGTCTTATAATAATCACGTGCTCGACAGAGCGCGAAAGAGGGAAGAGCGACTTAATACGATAAAGAATTTATTTATTTATACATACAACATCATCACAATATTCATACCTATAAAATACAAAAGCTAACACACCACGCATGCTGCTGCTGACATGCACTAAGAGTCACCTCCCCGAGGAGAAGGTTGATACGTTATCGAAGAGCAGTGCGAGTTTTGAAATCGGAAGTTGGTATTTTGACACGGAGAGTAAATGGCACATGAGGAAATTTTTCTCTTCTCCGTAACGGCTAACGACGGTACCATGGGGCCAATGCTCGCCGTCGTACGTTGACCGCGTGGAAAGAAAGGGTTATACAATATAATACGAAATGTTCAAACTTAAAGCTAACGCGGACGCGTTAATTAGTGCCTAGAATCATGCCGCTAGACGCATCCACGCCGTCGAATATTTACAAGAAAGTACAAAACAATACTGGGGAGGATCTCATCGCGGGATGAATGATGCTGATTAAACGCGTGAGATCTCTATCCTAATCAGGATACAATCGAAATTCATATATAAAACTACATCTTGTACGTGCGTCATAATCGGCCCGCTTAATTCCTACGATAATGATGATGGTGATGATGATTATTGGCTCTGGATTTGTTGTTAGGCGTACGAAGAACCTCCGCGTAAGACATCTCTAATCGTCTCAGCCGAGCCACCTCCTCTGACGCGGTGCTGGGTTTGAAATCCTTGTACTCGAAATTGTTGTGTTGCTGTTGCTGCTGCTGCTGCTGCTCGTGCGGGCCGCGCGTGAATGTCTTCTTGTTATCTTTCGACCGATTCGCATATATATTGTGCTGGCCGTTCCATGCACCGGAGTGCTCGTGCTCGGCAGGATTGAACGGTTTGAATCTCCTTCGGCCCCCGCCGCTGGGTCTGGCCGACACGAATTTCGGATTCGTCGTGGGAATAACGTCCGGCGTTGACCGATCGTTGAGCTGCGCCTTCTTGGTGAAGTTCTTCTTCACCGAGGTCTTTTTGCGGACGCGCAAGTTAAGAGACACGTAATCCATTTTGCAGCTCGCATCCTTCGCGGGCTGCTGATTCACGGCGGTGCTGGACTTGTCGGACTGTTTGCCGTCCTTCGGATTGGCCGGGCTGGTAGACTGCACCCTGAAGACCGGTTCCGAGACCACCGACGATACCATGGAGGACATGACGCTCTGATTGTCGTCCGTCGCCTCGCTCTGCAAATCTTCCTGAAACGACGGCTCGTACTTGGCCTGAGACGTAGCGGGTTCGTCCAGCAACGGCAGCTTCTCGCCCTCGTCCTTTGCCTCGGCTGCCCGTTTCAGAACGCTGAAGATCTCGCTGAAGAGCTGCCGGTACTCGGGCGTCTTGCGGAACCTGCTCTCGAACGGGCTGTTATCGTCGTAAATGCTGAACTTGCAGTCCTCGCCGTCGGCGATGGAGCACAGGAACGAGCCCGCCGACCTGTCGTCAGTTTGTGTCGCCTTGTTGCTGGTCTCGTCCGAGAAGCCTGAAGACGACGTCTCGGCTTCGGAGAAATCGGTGGGAGTGGCCGAGAAGGGTTTCTTGCCGGCGTTCTCGTTTGGTTTGGCTCGCGAGACGGTCTTGGTTGATTCCGGAGCTGTGGCAGCCTCGACCTCGGAGGCAGCAGGATAGAAATTGTTAAATTCTCCGGACATCTCCAGCTCCTCCTGCAACGACATACATGTCGCGGGTGTGGCGTCCTTGCGACGGGGCTGACAATGCCTCTGCACTTCCAACAAGGCCTGATACTTCTCTACCAAGACTCGATAGGGATTCGCGGTGTCCAGTTCGTCGGTACCTTCGTTCTTGTTGCCTGTATCCTGTGTGCAGGCAATTAATGTGTGTGCAGTTGAAAATGTGAATTTATGAAAGTGTATACGACGAAATTCAGTTACGATTGATATTTAATTGAGGGAATTATATACCTACGAGTAAAGCGATCGGCGCACAAATTTTACTACAAACAAGTCTAAAATCTCATAAAGTTACATATAATTTTTATATAATATATATATATAACGTTATACGTAACTTTGACTTATTTCTTCGTTTCAATTTACGTTAGTAATTGCACGGGACGTTGCGCAGAAATGCGAGGCTAACTGGAAGCAGAAGGGCAAAGGACCTGCCAGATTTATAGGATATTAAAGGTTGCAAAAAGTTCCGTGAGAAAATGTGTTTTATTTAAAATCTTATAAATCTGGCACTTATACATTGTACAAAGCAATCGGTTAAAACAATTCGACTAGACGCAGCGATTCCAATCATAACAGCCATCATGCTTAGATTAACAGCAAGCACAGATATTTGCATTTACTTATCCTAGATTCTTAATATTGCCGAGGAGTGCAAGCAGTCTTCATAATCTTTGGAAATTAAGTAGTAAATTTTCCGCAGTATATATCACAAAGCTTTTATCATAAACTTGCTCGTTATTTTAAGGTATAATCATACAAAGTAATAAAAGTATTCAAATAATAATATTAATTATATAATAGCAAAGTGCTAGTTGTGTATTAAAATCGTTTTTGGAAGTCAAGATTATCTTCGATTTATCAAATTTGATTTATATATTCTGCGCATTAACATATCGTGTTAAAGAATTTTTGATTTCTCCTGTCTGAACAGCCAAAGCTTAAAGACGAACAGAGATATTTTATGAAGCATAAACGATGGTATTCGAAAAGGCGCGAACACTACTGGAACAATAAAATGGGTTCTAACATATACGCTTGAGAAAAATGAAATAATAACAACGGCACTTTCGTATAAGTAAATACCCTCCATAACAACGAACTATACCATTTACGTTCTGTCTTTGGCTTGGATTTCGCAAAGTTTGTCACTTCCTAAAGCAGATAAAAGATAATTACTATTCTAGGCGAGCATAACTGAAGAGGAAAAGAAGCGACATTGTAGCGACAGACTCGAGCAAGCGAGAGGCTCGATTCATGCAAACGTAGATGTTCTAGTAAACAGCGCAAGGGTGAACCAAATGCTGAAGAAAGAAAAAGAGGAAATACCTGCACGGTCACTTCGGAGTCGCGCTGATTCTCACTAATTAACGACTCGGCCATACTTATGTCGTCGTACTCTTCCTGATCTAGCATTATGGAAAGCTCGTCGTGCGTCCTCGTGTCCATGCCACGCAAGCAACGGCCGCATAACTGACCTCGTCTGTAAGGACATTTTTGCTTGTTTCACAAATATTACCGACATTATCGTACGAGCTTTCTCGTCAACGACTCCAATAACGCGTGCAACTTGTAATCTTATTCGCATTAAGATGGATCTCTTCTCGAGATACATCTTTTAAGTGGGTATGTTAAGAAACGATCTACGTTCAAGGAAGGGAAATGAATGGAGAGCGCACGCACCTGACTTCTTCCAAGGTGTTAATTTCGTCTTGCAGACTCTTGACATCTTGCGCCTTGTTACGCAACTCCGTTAATTGCTCCTCCAATGCGCTGTTCTCCTGCAACAAAGTGGTCAGCTGCTGACTGAGCTCGGAGACCTTCTTCTGCTCCCTAGCCCTTTGATTGCGAGCGTCCTGCAACTGCTTCAGCAACTCTGTCATCTCCTCGTCGCTCGTCGCGGTCGACTCGCTCGTCTCCTGGGAGGACCTCGGCGAACACGGGGCAGCTCTCTGAAGACAAGAAACAAGCATCAACGGGTCTCTTCCTGAAGACTCGGAAGAAGCGATGAGTGATGTCACGTTACATAAATACTATCGAACTATTCGTACCTGTTTCTCGCTGCCGCCTTGCGTATCCGAGGTTTCCCAATCGCTGCTCTGTTGCTGATGCAGCTGTTGCTGTTGATGCTGTTGCTGCGCATTGTTTCTAGACGGGCTTGCGGTGTGCTGGCGCAACTTTTCGATCAAGTCGTCAATCTTCTTCTGAAGCTCCTCGCATCTTATTTCCAGAGTCTCGATAGTCACGGATTGGCTGCTCGTGCACAAATCGTTACATGATTATCAGTGGGAGTCTCGTTATTGCGGGACGCTGCGCGGTATCGCAATTTCTCCGACGATCGGACATCTGCTGATCGAAGTGTCGCCTCGGAGAAATGCACGGCGAAGTTTCTCCGGAATTTCGGGTCAACCGCGACGAGTCGAAGCGCGCAAGACGCCTAGTCCCGATCTACTCGAAGAGTTGACGTTGACCGAAGATGAAATTTCGTGAACGCGCGGTATAGAATAATAAAAAAGGCTCCCCGCCGGGAGAAACAGATTCCATTAAGGAGATTAGGATAGTGTTAAATAGGAAAATAATACTTAATAACTTTCCATGAACTTTAATTGTATCGGACGGTGTATGAATTATGCATTTAGAAAGGTGAGCTCAGAACGGTTCACATAGCCAATACAATACGGAGTTAACTAGATATAATAACAGATCTTGTTAGACCGGCACTTTTCCGCGATACTTTTAGCAGAATCTTATCTGGAATATCAAGCGGTATCTTTCTTTCGAATGAGAATGTCAGTTTCTCTCTCTCTCTCTCTCTCTCTCTCTCTTTCTCTCTGTCTGTCCGTCTGTCTCGCTCTAATCGAAGACGTTTCGCCAATCGAAGAAACGACGTGGAAAAAGAAACAGGGAAGATAACGCGCCTACCTCTTGATCAGTTTCTTATCGCTGGTGTTCTCGATCACCAGGTGATGATTCGCACGTTCCAGATCCTGCACGCTGACTTCCAGCTGCTCGTAAACTTTCAGCCGCGTATTGTTCACCTCCCTCAGGGCGGCAGTCTGCTTTTTCATATACTGCGGAACGAACAAATAACACGCGTATTCATCGGCCGGTGCAATTTCGAGGTTGAGCGATTCCGCAAATCGTTCGTTCGCGACTCGAATTTTCTTGCCGTGCCGCGCGATCGTTGCTGTCCATTGCAAAAATGTCGTACGGAAGACGCGGGAGCTATTAGTAAAATTATCAGAGAGTAACCGCGGGAGGGTAACCGGTTTGCCGCGAGGAATAACAATGTTCCGGCCGTAACAATGACTCGCGGAAAAATTACCGCGAGATTTATAGAGATATACCTCGATTTCTTGCGTTTGCTCCTCCACGGTAGCCTGGTGCAACTTGATGATGTTCTCCAGCTCCTTGTTCCGTTCCAGGAGGGTCTTGCCGAGCTCCGCCGCCAACTGTAGATCTGCGCAAAACGTAAGACGTATTTTTGCATGAGCGCTTCTTTTTCATCTCGATCGGGAAGGTATTCCTACCAATCGCGCGAGAGCATTCTATGTTTTTCAATCTATTGAATCTCGGACGCGCGTAGGTAAAAGAGATTCGAAGCGTGAACGCGTACAGATAAGTTCCGGATCAGCGTGGTGAAACCGTGGGGAAGGGATCGACGGGAATTTCTACGTTGACGGAAACGATGTCGATCCGGGCTCGCTCCGAATAAATAATTAGCCGCGCAACCTGCCGAGCGACGGCTGCAGGTTGCTGGCCGCCGAGCGGCGGCGCGAACGCCCTGGTTCACGCTCGCGGCACTCCCTCATTCTGACACCGGCTAGGGCCAAGGACCTTCGCGGTGAGCAAACGACCGTGCTACCGTTTCGCGGTACTCGGTGTCGCGGCGCAGCAACGTGACCCGTGAAGTTCACGGACTCCTTAAGTTGACTCCCCGATGCGACGCGCGAGCACGACGCAAAGCTGTCGCGAAACCGCGAGCCTCCGGATCGCGGCAATTTCAACTCAGGAGATTCAATCGAACGCGTGCGTATCGGGCGCGATAAAAACCGACCCATCGGAGCGGAGATACCTCGTCCACCCTCTTTGATCGGGACAGTTATAATTCGCCACGCGACAATCTGCCATCTCTCTTCCAACGTTATCACTTGTCCCGTGAAGCTGAACACCATCCTCTTGACCACAACACCGCACGTTAACAGCACCGTGAATCCTTTTCGCGCGCGTTCCAATCGTCTCTTCTTATACGCTCGCGCTCTTACTTACTACTCTCGGAGGAGGATCCCTTAAGACTCTTAAGGTACGCGAGCTCGATAGAATAGTCCCAGCCCTCTAACGAGTTGGTCTGGGTCTGCGGGTCCCAGACCATGTCCACGCTCTGCCCGCTCATGGCTCGCTCGTGATGGGACCTGCCAGTTCCCGTCGTTGCCCTTTCCGACACACAACCGGTTCCGTCGGAGGCAGCCGGTCTTCTGTGGTTCTGTGGTAGCCAGGCCGATCGAAACGACGTGTGCCCACCGAGCGGTAATTCAACTCCCTCCATTCTCGCTCTCGTCTCCCTTCCCCTGCCTTTCTTACGCTTCTGGGCCCCGTCTCTTCTTGTCGACGTTCCGACCGAAGGAGGTACCGAGGGGGTCTCACCTCGCCACCCGGCCCGGCCACTTTCCAGCAATATAGTTTTGAATTTCCAATAGGCGCCAAAGCGCAATGACACTTGGACCGAGCTTTAGGCCTCCCGTTCAAATGGGAGGAGATTGACCCTTGGGGGAGTAGCGTCAAGTCTAAAGAAACATTTATTCTCTGATTCTTTCGAGAACGATAAATCAAATCTCTCGCCATTCCCTCTCTCGGGAGCACTTAGCTCCCCTAAGTGCTCCGCCGATACTCTCACTCTGGAGTCCTCATCCTTTCCCTTCTGCCTTTCTACCTAAGCTCGTCGTTCCCGTCGTCCGTGGGATGCTCCGGCGCGATAAGAGAAGGTGTCCCACTTCTGAGATCTTTCGTCGCACGCGCGCGTACGTATCTTCCCACCGAGAGAAATGGGGGCTGTAGGTTGACGAGACGGGGTGATCTGACAGGGTGATGAATGAGGAAAATCATCGCGCTTGGATTCGGCCGGAGATCCGGATAGATCGCGCGAAATCGCTTGGAGTGGCCTCCCCGCATATTCGCAATGCATACTTTGCAACGATCGCAGCAACGAAAGCCGAGACGTAAAGTACGCCTCGTTAACAATAGCCCGAAGGATGACGGGCAGCTTTTTTTTTCGTTAAGACTAGCCATCGCCGTCGCTCCATTGTTCCGAGGCTGTAATATTAATTAATCCGGAGCTACCGGACGAATAATAGTGATTAGGCCGCGCCGTTCCTGTGTATCAACGTTTAGTTATGTTACGTTAATAGTCGACAAAACCTTGATCCACTTGGACATAATGGCGAGTGCAGCGATCGGCAACGCACGGCGTATATAAAAGCTTTATCCGATGTCGCCTGACACGTTCACTGTCCATGGTGAATGCGTTACGCGCATTGAAAAATGATAAACACACTTTGTAGCGTGCGATATAAGGTTTCATTAGTCTGAAAGTTGTTCGATTCTATTTTACACGAAGAATTGCTGGAGGGACGGCAGCGGCGTTGCAAACGGTGCAACACGGCGAGTTTGAGAAACGATTTGACGACGACGTCTCACTCGTACGTTTCGCGGACGTTCGTGCAGCTCGGCAGCGTCCCGCAACGTTACCGCAGTTCGTAAATCATTTATACATTTCGCGTCCTATCTGATCGCTCCCGAGCGAACTCTATTGTTTCTAATGAACCCGCAATCAGATTCAACCTAGCGCTGCAACGACCTCCGAAAACACCGGCCCAGTGCCCTCGTTACTCGCCCATCGCTGCCCGTATCGCGATCGGCAAGCCGGAGAAGTAGGGAAAGAAATTCTATTCTCTCGCTCTTGACGTTTCGCCGTTGCAGCGATTTAATGACACGGTCAGCGGCAGCTCAGCCAGAGATGATTAATCGAGTCGACATCGATTCGATATCGACGCGTCGTTGAGCGATCGCCGTCGAATACTGGTTAATGCTTTCGTCACCTTCGACCTCACCGCGGTTATTTTTATTAATCCGCACTCGACGTCGATGCAATCGACGTTGATTCCGCCTAGTCGTTTCGCGCTGAGAAATCAACCGATACGGGGAATCGGCGCGAGCGACATACGAGATGGGTATCCGAGAGGGAGCTGCAATGATAAATTTCCGATACGTGTTCCGTTGACCCTTGGGCCTCCGACTATCGGCAACAAAGCCGCGCGTTCTCGCGTACGACGCTCGCCGGCGAGGGAAACGCACTACGCGGCCCGCATATGCGTGCGGGAAAAGTGGTACGCGAGAAATCGATGACGGACGATTTCGTACCGCGTCCAGAAAAACGCAATCGTCTCGTCCCTCTTCGCGTATATCACCACACGCGGAAACGGACACGTCTCGCCGCGAATCGGGGTTCGCGGGGTCACGGCAGAAGCGAATCGGCAAGCTCATCGTTCTCGTCGTTACGCTCGCGAGACTTCATTAGCCGGCGTGACTCAAGGGGACCCGACGGCGACCGATACTCGCTCGCCGGTCGCCGGTCGCCGATCAACCCCCGCGATAACGATTCCCGCGACTCGTTACGCCCGCTCCCGGTGAAAGTCCCATTTTTACGCCGGAGAGAGCTTGCGTAATGGTATTTAGCGTTTTCCTTCTCCTGCGGACGCCGTCGCCCGCGGCGGGTCTGCGCGGACGTGAATAAAATTGCGGCGCGTTCTCGGGACGGCGAGTGCTATCGGTGAAAAAGGACGACGGTCCGCGGACAGCCAAATTAGAGCGTTCGGTGAGCCGTTAACGACGCACGCGAAACTCGTTCCGCGCGAGGTAACGCGAGGCCCGACAGCGCCGGGCGGCTCGGCGAGCAACACGTTTCGGGGCTCGTGCACTTTCCTCATGCGCCCGAAAGGTCAAGCCGATGCACCTGCGCGCCGCAACAATGGGCCCTCATTTTTTTCCCTCTCCCTTTCCCTTCGCTCCCGCGGCCGCCCGTCAGTCCCGATGAAGAGATTAATAACGTTTCGCCCGGAACACTCTCGAGAGAAAGTAGCCGGCGCGAGGGGGGGGGGGGATTTAGATTCTATTCCGAGGTCGCCGGGTCATATTCCAGTCGAAATATCACGGCGATCGGCTTCCCGCACACGTCCTCCTCGAGCGCTTCCGCTCGAGTCGACTCGAGCCGTCGTTTCCGACTTTTGGTCCCGCGTTCGCTCCGTTAGACAAACTCTTCCGCCTATGTGTCTCGATACCGGTTCATTAGCTACCACGCCCTGCGCGATATCCATAAATCGCGCGAAACGAAACGAGGGTGGGAAAACGACAAAACGCTGCTTTCTCGAAAAACGACAGCCAGCAGGTCTCAATTATCGATTCAGCTCTCGCCGGAGGAAGGGACTGCCGCGCCACGGTGAAGGGATCCCCGTCGCCGTGGTCGGGAGTGGCTACCCGAGCTTTTCTCTGACTTTCGCGTTCCTCGGGCGATAATATCGCTAATTCGATCATTAAAGCGCACGTCGACGCGACGGTAGGTACGAGTACACGCGCGTGGGCGGAGAGAAGGCGAGCGTGACACACGGGGTATCTGTCCCAGTTGAGTCGCGGTAGCACAGTACCATTCATGCACGCGCCCGCCCGCCCACCCTGCTCGGTCTCGCCTTCCTTCCTTCTTCGTCCTCTTCGCCGAGCCGGTAACTGGAGCCGGCGCACTCGGCGGTGTTAAAGCATCCCGTGGGCCGTGTTCCCAGCATTGTTTCGGCCCGGGGAGCGTAAAACACTCGGGCGACACGTGAGGTGCCCGAGGTTCAACGACGTCGTCGAAAGCGCGCCGCCGAAGGAGAGCACACGAAAGTACACGCGTGGAATTTCGGAGCGGAAACGCGTGAAACGCGCGGAGGTGTAGGCAGAGGGGATTCCGAACCTTTCCATTTTCGAAACTACGCGCGCCGGCGACTTTAAGGTTGTTATTTCGTGAAATCATTTCTGTGAGAATTGTTTCACGAAAAATTGTTTCAAAATTTTGCGGTTTATTCTTTACATTAATACGTGCAAAATAAGACTAATTAAATTAATATTGACCGTCCCAAAGTTCTAAAAAAAAATGTTAAAGTTTGCTATGCTACACGAAGTATTACGTGTAAAACACGTTAAAAATAGAACAATATTGCATCAAGATATATCATCGTGATAATTGAGTGCTGGTTCCTGTCAGGAAGACACATTTGAGCATTGTTGTCGCGAAACAACTACCTTAAACAGTCAGTCGCATCTTGCGATATCCGTCGCGACTTGATTAATCCGAAAGTATCGTAGCCGCGCCAAGCATTTGGAACATTTGTAGTCCCAGACGGTCTGCTATCGATTGTCAGATGATTTTTG